AAACAAGAACTCACAGATTAGGACATAGTAGAACTAAGACCACAGATGTAACATTGTATTTATCCCCTCAACACATCTATACGGCCTTTTAGCCAATACTCCAAGGAAAACTCCCAGTTAAGGTAAAGTCTTCTGCCTGCAAGAAGCCACACACATAAATACAGTTCCTTCTCCCGTCGCACTTGTTTGCATCTGTCACTTGTGTCAAGCATGCATGATACAAATAAAAGCTATTAAGTTCTAAATTTTTATAAATGAAAAAAATTGAAGGGTGTGAAAGCAGTGCTGTACACCATGAGGATATGAGCTGAAGAGGCACGTATACAAGCGACACAGTAACAATCACAGCCATATGTCAAGAGGCCTGCATAATTCTTTCTTCTCCCAACTTAGGACCATCCCAATGTCAAATTCCAAAATCCTACCACAAAGGGAAGGCATCAGAATATTTCACTGAAATAGGAGTAACCAACTGTTTATCCACGCTTCATATAATCAACTGAACACCGAGACTCGGAACAGAAACCATTAAGCAGCGTTACATACAGAGGTAAGGGCAGATACCTGCCCAAATCCCATTATGTCTATTCATTTATTATAGCCAAATGCTCTATCTAATGACAAATAAGTCAGAGTAGCGAGGCCTTTTAAGATCAAGACATCATTTTAGCTCCACTGGTTGTTGTGGGCTCTGAACAGTTGCTTAATTTCAATATTGACTTTAAAGGTTTTTAATCTGACTTAAGTTATATCCACTTGACAAGGGTCAAGAGGTACCCTTGAGTTAAAAGTAAAACATATAACAAGGTAACAGAAACTCTATAAAATTGGAAGGAGTACCCATTTCCTGGAAAGCAGTCTTCTGATCCTGCTGCATTGGAGGAAATATCATTTGAGGTAGAAGAATAGCGAAAAGCTTTCCCTTCACACCTCCCCTTACCCGCTGCATCACAAAAAGGCAGACACAAAGTACTGCCACTTCAACCACAAATGTTCTTGAACTGCTTGCATTCCCCCCAAAGAAACCAAAAATATGGGGCATTGGAATGTTTGGCAGTTTTTCTCTCTCAAGCATATATGCAGAAATATCAAGAAAAAGCTGCTTCCACTAACTGATGTTAAAAATGATGCTAAGTGAAAAATTCTGAAATTATTTTTAGGGAAATATTTTCATAAATATTTGCTATTTTTTTGAGTATGAATAAAAAAAAATATTCAAAACTAAACATCAGAAGACCTAGCAGTATCCAGTACCTCATCAACATTTTTTGGATTGGCTTTCCCATTTCAGATTTATTTACTTCTCTAAGAATGAAAAAGAAAAACCAAACAACCAACCCCTATTTTGTAGGCAGAAGTCCTTGGCTACCTTGCAATAGCAGACAAGAAAGATGAATTGATTTCCCCATCAGGATCATGAAATATTATGGAACTGTGAGGAGGACTGACCCAAAAACCAGAAGATTTCAAGCTAATACACTCAGCAGAAGAAGTGACAACAGGAAACCCTTTTGAAAACAGTATAATGTATATCTTCTCGAAGAACCCGTCTCTCACACACCACCAGAGAAAATTAGAAACACAGTGGAAATTATTTCACATTTCACAGCCTACTTCAGAGGTAATGGATGGAACACTTATCTCCGTTACTGGGTAACTGACCAAGCAGACTCTAATTTAATGTCACCTCCAGTCCAACCTCCCCTTTTTATTTTCTTGACAAAGTGGTTTTAATAAGGAAAACCCAAAGCCAGGAAAAACACATTAAAAAAATAAAAGTAATGGATGAAGCTTGGACTAGATGATCTTCAGAGGTCCCTTCCAACCCCTAACATTCTGTGATTCTGTGATTTTAAGCTTTGAAATGCTCTGTTAAAGGGGGCTTAAATATCAGATATGGAAGTGATGAAGAACGCTTGTTTAAATGAGCACTCAAAATCATTACAGAAAGATGGGAGTACACGTAAATTTTGACCAAGAATATTTAAAAGGTTTCAACAGCACTGTTATAAATGAGAATAGTTATGATGTCAGAAGTGTTGACTTTGCCACTGTTAAATCAGCAATATGCATCTGAACAATAAAGATCTGTTTGGAGAATAGGTATGTTCTACACACCAGAGAAAAGGTAAGGACAGAAACTAAATTGAGATCCAGCAGACAAAAATGAGATGCATCACAACGAAATGCATGCAAATAACCTGGCTGAATGTCCTCAAAATCCATACTGGATTTTTGGCAACAAATGTAAAGGGAATTCACTGTAGTGTATATATATATATTTAAGATAATATTGTAAACCAGTCCTTGGCAATTGTTGTATAGATTTCACTTATTTTTATGTACAATGATTTTTCCACAAATTATTACTATCGTTTTTTAATCAAGCAAGAAATGGAAAAAGTTTTTGAATGGAATTACTTTTGACTTGATACAAATCACAGAGTAGTATTTTTAGGTATTTTAAATAGTGCTCATAGCTTATTCCTTTCTAGTTCTAAATACAATCAAAACAGTTCTAAAATGAGAAGGAGCACGAGTCTTCTCTGCTCAGATTGGTGCCAGACAAGAAGAGCAAAAAAGACTAAAGATGGCAAACCTGTAAGGATCACAGAACTGACCTCGAATTGAATGTCGCAGCTCAGCGGTCAAGATACTCAGAGATCTTTACATTCATGAAAAAGAACTATTTGGAACTCAACTCTCTAAATTCACCTACTCACATTAGATGATGCACTTAGAGATGGAGTTTAAAAGCAGTATTCCACATTACCCACAGTGTAACTGGAAAGCTTATGTTATTTGAAGCAATAATTCAAATGGACAGTTTCTTTCTAAGGAATGCATGTTTGACTTGTTTTTTCCCCACACTGCTCTTGCATAAAGGTCACAACTGTATAAAATACACAGGAGCAACCCATGCCAAGTCAGCGAAAATTAATTCCATTCCCAGCTTTGTGAATGACTGGCAACATGAGCAACAAAATAGTTTTACCTTTTTTTTTATTCATCTCTACAGTGATACTTTAACTACTTCATCAGGCTGTGGGAACTAATGATGGGCATGTTATTATTTAGGAAGCCTCATAAACTGCATCCATTCCTACAAAAATCTGTCCTACAGTAGCATGACTAAGTTTTTCAGGACAACGATTAACTATCTTTTTTTATTTGTTTGTACAGTTCCCAGAACAATGGGGTCTTAATCCTTGACTTGGACAGCTAGGCACCATTGAAACATAAATAATTAGCAAACAATATGAGTTGAGAGGTTTAGCGAAGTGTTATCCTTCCCAGAGCTCCAAGGCACAGAACTTTTAAATGGCCAGAATTTAGCCAATGCAAAGGGAACTGGGGACAGGGAATCATAGCCTCGGTTGCTTGCTAACAACTTTGGTGGCTTGTTCTTGAAAGAGCAGGGTTACAAAAAAGACTGATGGAATGCATATGTGAGAAGAGAGCACTATTCAGAGGAGCACAGCAACTGCAAATAGAGTTGCCCTTTGAGTAAGGCATTTGGGGCAAAAGCTTTTTATGTATTTGCCAGCTTTACCGTATCTGGAAACTAAGAGCAAACACACTAGGAAAAAAACAGGGGTTTGCTTTGGGGTTGTTAGTTTTGGGGGTTTTTTTGGAGGACTAACACATCAACATGCAATTTGCCAAAAGAGAAACACATCAAGAAAGAAACAGTTGTATAATCAGCAGTAGCTGTTGTCCCTTGAGATGTGTTCTATGCACATATATGCTGCCTTTATCACGAGAATGCCCATCACATTCAAGCTGGACTCTCAGAAGTATCAGGCACCATCCACAGAGGTTATCACACACACCAAGAACATACCCCTGCTTCCCCATCAGAAATAACAAGGTTGGAGCTAGTCCAACCACTTGAGTAGCTCTTCATCCTGGCCAGCCCTTCATCTTCAGCATCTAAGAATAGCTTCAAGTATCCAACACGAAGGATATGACATGGAATTTGTGCCAACATTTCTAAGTAAAACAATTTCTGAACAATTAAGCAATTCTTTTCTTCATTGCCTGTCCATACATTTGTTCTGCAGTTGGTGACTTCTAAGCTATGTACTCTCGGAAGGTGGATATGAGTAATTTGGGCTTGTTTACTCCAGAAGTGAAAGACCAACAGAAGGCATGACTGCCAGCATTACTGGAGTGAAAAATAACTCCTTCCAAGCGACAAATGAAGAAACGTTTTGCTGCCAGTCAGTCTGGAAGATACCTGGAGGACAGGCAATTTCCACAAGGTGATGAATGAAAAGGAAGTAGAATGCTACGACGAAAGCCTGGAGTAGTTCCAGTAGACTCTGAATGCAGGGTGGGGCAAATGAAAGCAGTCTTCAAGAGGGATAAAAGCAAAAAAGTTATGGTCTAAAACACTACCCACAGTTTTTATTTTCTTAAATAAAGATGATGTCAAGCAATATATTAGGAAAAAAACCCCAGAGAATTACAACACAGACTAATTAAATACTATTTGCAGCCACTAATAGTATGTACAATACACACACAACATGAAACAAATTAAATGCTTATTTACTTAGAGGTATCAAGTTAATATTATCCCCCAGTGTTCTAGAACAGCCTGTATGTCATCATACTATACAATGCCACTATTATTCTATGCATCCAAAACTTTCATATTCTCAGTCAAAAATACATACTTAATATCTAACTTTAAACACATTAACATACTCATTTAAGTAATCTATTTAAAGCACAATAAAAATTAAAGCAAGACTGTCTTTCCAATAGGTTAGACCCCTCACCCCCTCTTGTATTCAGCCATTCAATACTTCAAAAACTTGAATAGATTAGAATGATAAAGCATTTTCATCAAAAGACTACAGAGAAGTAAAACACACAGTTTGATGTGATCCAAAATAGAAGCCGAATATCTGTTTTTGAAAGAAGAGAAATAAAGTTATCCTTTTTTGATTTACTAAAGTAAATGGAAAAAAGTCTTAGTCTCAAATTCCTACCTGTTGGTATGCTTCATAGATTGTATCAAACAAGAAAGCCTGAGGCATTTCACTCGCTCTGTACCTGGCACGTTCCAATGAGTGGTCTAAACAGCCATCTGCAGCAGAGGCAATAACAGTAGAAACTAGAGGACGAATTGCTCCTGCTGCCTGCGGAACAGAACACAGAGAGGCCTAAATGTTATCACTGTTACTGTATATCAGATAGCTGCAGTCAAAGAGTTTTAAAATAAATTTTCTACTTACTTACCTTTCATGTATCTCATAATGCATAGGTCAGACACTACTTAATCTGTATGCGACTTTTAAAAGAAATATAGTAACACAAGACTGTGTAAGTACACACTCGGTGTCAATTTACAAAAAAAACCTAAGTCCTTGATAAACAACAACTGCAAATACACGTAGAGGTGAGAGATGTTCATCTTTCAGACTTTCTTCTACACACATATTAAGTGGTTTCTGTGACAACAGTTCTAGGCCTAGCAGGAGACACACGTGAGAGGTCTTGACAATTCACAACGTCCTTTGCTGTCACAGATTTCAGTTTGGCTAAACTGCTCAGAAACGAGCAACTAGTAAAGTTGCAGAAAATTGAGCTTGTTCTTCCATATTGAATTCACCCTGTGAAATACTGAGCAACCACACTTACCAGTGAAGTCACTGGGAACACAGCATATACATCAGAAAGTATTCAATATCCAGCAGCCTCAGAACAGATATTTAAATGATTATATTTCAGTTTGAGTTTTACTTAGATTTCAAGCCAATTCATCATGTATTTTTGCTCTTTTCATCAATATACAACATTAAAGATCCAGGGCATCTCTGAAACAGAACTCTCCTAGCTGTTTTTAGTCATTTTTGACACCAGAAAGTTATGTGTCATTCATCAGTCACTTATCAAATGCCCATGTGAACTTTATATGGAGCTAAAGGCAACTGGGACAAAAGTTGTCCATACAGCAATGGCAGAACATTGCTTATTAAGTCACAGGGCAAAAAGCATGCTCACTAACCACTAAGAATGGCATCCCTACGCTATACTGTTTATTATCTGGGTTTAAGAATAATAAAAAAGAATAATTAAAGCTATTACAAGAATTTGTAATTATCCAACATCTTAAATCAGTGTATCCAGAAAACCACTCCCAGTGGTGAATTCTGACACTTTTCACTGCAGCCACAGAAGATCTCCTGAGGTCTAGTGAGCTTTTACACGGGAGAAAAAAAAGTAGGTCTCATCACATAAAATAAGAGCACTGTTAGTGTTGATCTCATTTACCTTCTGCTGGCAAATCCTGCCTTCATATGAGTCCTATCCATTCTTACAAGATTTCTGACCTCAGATAAGCACACAGTGGCAGAACGAGACACCAAAAGTGAGCCCAGAGTTGTTTTTTTTTCCTCTCGGAAGAGAAAGAACTAGTTGTCTTCCCTCCCCCTTTCACACTACTGAACAATAAAACGAAGAGGAATGCAGTCAGTGTGTTGAGCACTTTATGAGCTCTAAAATACAGCTTCTTAAGTTCATTCTTTTGCAGAATGAGGACAGAGATGTGAACCAATTTCTCATGCCCACAGGGTTTTGACATTCACGAGCTACCAGGGCAGGGAGAAGGTAGAGAAGAGAGTTAAAAGATACACATGACAAGAAATTTCTGAACCAGTTTCTCAAAACCTGAAAAGCACTTTTCCTTTCTAATACATGAGAAGAAATATCTGTGCAAAATGCCATATGAAGCAAAAGACCATCATCCAAAGGCAAAATGAGGTACAGAAAGATCAGCGAGAACTACAAAGATACAGAAGTGTCTGTTAGAGGATCTCAAGAGGTCATCTCGCCCATCCTTCTGCCCTAGGCAGGATCAATTTTACTTTTGTAACAGAAAAGACAAATTGACAAAACTAAAAACCACTATAATTTTAGCAATACATCAATGTATTAAATGCAGACTAAATTTAAAAGATATACTTTGAGAAAAAGCTGCTCAGAAGCAGAAGTAGAGAGAGTAAATTATCTCCAACTTTTCTCTCTTTTCTACGATTCCAACACGTAGATTATTACCTCTATATCCCAGCTGCTGGGCATTTGGTCTATGTTATTTTGTTCTACCATCATAATTTAATTGTTCACACAGGAAAAAAAATATAAAATTAGAAGGTCATGGGAAAAGAAACAGAACAGCACGCTAGCCACAGTTTTTCTGTAATTAGTTAGGTCTATTTGATTTTTTTTCTAAAACAGTTACCATTCCAGAAAATCAGTTAGCAAAAGAGGATTTCTTAGGCTGATCAAATATTTTATTATAGTTTTTAACAATCATGTCATGTCATGTTACATTTTAAGCATAAAACAGGCCAAGAGAATACAATGTGACTTGCGTAACCAAATCTCACAAGTGAAACACGTACTCCGAGGAACAAAAAAACCAAACTGCAATTCCAAATAAAACTGAAATACTCAAAACTGTATTCTTAAAAGAGCTCTGAAGCACATTGTTTTCTTGACATCTGGTTTACTGCACAATAAATATTCATGCATGTCTGTATCTGTATCTTTGTGACAATAGCGAACCACATCTCCTGCTCTGCTGAGGCCTAGTTCGTCCAGAAGATTCAGGAGGATCTAATTTCTAACAAATTCAAACATTTTTTAAAACCCCATCTAACTTCAAGTAAATGGAAGCTTCATGGCACCTAAAATTTAAAAAAAATGGCATTTTTCAAACTACAGCTTTGCTTTACATTACCCTAGAGCTGAGTCCAGTGTGGGAGGCTGAGAATTTTTTACCTGTCTTCCCTCCATTTCCATGAGAAATCACAATTTGGGTGCAATAAAATGTCTTTTGCAGCAAGTTCACTCAAATTATACCTGACACTGAAAACATGAAGATTTATGGCTCGTTTCTGACCACAAAAAGGAGAGAAATTCTAACTATGCATGCAGTAACAGGATAACAAGTAGTCATTGGATTTTTTTAAAAAATAAATTAAAAATCAGATTTTATTCCAAAACCAGGACACCTTAGTCCATGACTGCTCTGTGCTTTAAAAGCAGAATGCAGAGCTCTAGTATTTACTAAAGCCAGGAAGTTTCTACTGTGATGAGGAGCTGGATGCCCAAAAGCCAGGAATCCAGAAGCAAAGACTATTCCTGCCACGGTGCAGCACTGACTTAAAACCTTAAAATCCTGAGACAAGATACAGAAACTTGTTGCTTGCTTTGCTCAGTACTGATCCGCCTTCCTGCGGGACCTTTCTCTGTCCCAGCACACACATAGGCTCCCTCAACTACCTGAGCTGACCCAACCCAGGGCTAAGTTTTCCACCTCAGTGACAGAAGAACTGCGCTCATTCCTACGGCCACTTTCGGGCTGAGCAAAACTGGGATCAAGCAAAAGAAAATCGTCCTGTGTGTGCTTTGCCTTCTTATCACATGGGACAAGAGAATCGAGTCCCTGACACAGCAAACCCTGGCTCTGTGGTACTTCTGGTGACACCCTGCAGCCGGCACACACCGACACAGCTGCCAAACCCAAGCTGGCTGTGGCACATCTCGCCTCAGGTGCTCCTACCTCCAAAACTGGCTCATGGGTATCTTAGCATGTAAGAACAGAAGAACTGGGCTGCGAATTTTGTTCTCACATACAGGCCAAAGCGGGGCGCAGTTTAAGATGCGCGGCTCGATCTGCGTTATTGCCTTCTGGTTGGTACAAGCATCCTCCCTACTCAACACAAAGTTTTTTCTGAATTCCGCTCCTAGTAGTCTTGCAATGAACGGAACAGGGAACTTAAGTTAAAACTTAAAACTTTTTAGTTCTGAAACTTAGACATTAGGGCACGGCAGGGTCAATAATACAAAAAAATACTACTGTATCTAAAGGGGCACTTATACCCCTGACAGAGGGATGTAAGTGAAAAACAAAATCATCCAGCTTGTCTATGTCTATTCAGTTACAACACCAAATATTTTACTCTTTGCAAGGAATTTCCATGCTTTTCTGGTTATAAATCATTAAGAAATAACTATTTCTATATTAGGAAAAAGAGTATATACTGAGTCTCAAGTATCTGAGTTTTATTTGTTCTAATTTGAGAAGCTTTGACTTGCTATTTATGTTAGGAATGTACAGGTATTTGGCCCGGCTCTCAGGCAAGAGGTTCAGACATGAAGTTAAGAAGATAAATAAAACAAAGAAAAACTGTTCTTATTTAAACTGTAAGTACTTTTTCATGTCATATAGTTATAGCTCTGTTTTACCCTTTGAGTTAGTCTACCACAGAATCCATGAGTCTAAAAGCAAGTGCCTAGGTCTTATACTACTATTTCTTTACTCAGAGTACTCATCTTCCAAATTCTAACAATTTTGATCCAGATTTCAAGCAGATTTGCTTTCAAAAATCATACACAAAATGTTCCATACACCCTTCCCAAACGTGCAGTGCATAGTTAATGGATAGTTAAAATTAATTTTGTTAAATGTCCATCTTACAGCCTTCAAGTCACTCCAAAGACAGGCAAACACTAGTTGTGGTGAACCTGGCACATCCAGGAAATGCATAGACTTCTGTCCTCTGTTTCTGCATATTTTGTTAAATAAATTAGTTGAAGTATCAAAATATCTGGCGGCAAGAACAAGTTATCAAAGTAGCCAGAGTTGAAACAGAACAATGCTAAACAGATGCAAAGCTCAACAAGTTGAATTATATGGACTAGGGAGAAAAAAAACAAAAAACCATTGCAGTGGCACAAAATCCTTACAAAAAATACCACAACTACAATTCCTTTTGTTTTACAACAGCGTGGTAACAAGCTCCGACAACCACAGATTCTGCAGGCTGGCATACTAAAAAAAAAAAAAGTATTCTAAGTCTCTGGCACACCCCTGTCCCCAGTAGGCCCCAAGTACTAACACGGACCCACAAAGTTCACTTACACAGCCAGTTTGCAACCCTGAACTTGAAGTGAATGGGAATCACAGGCTAAAACTTCAGAGTCTAGTCCTAAATGAGCACGTTCCAATCCCCCTAGCATGACTCTTTCCTACTGGTTCGCTACATCAGCAATAGTCCTAACTGAGCACGTTCCAATCCCCCTCTTTCCTACTGGTTCGCTACATCAGCAATACTCTTCTTCTCCATTCATA